ACCCTACATGTTAGTTGTTGTGTTGACATCCCTGACATTTCTGACAATGTGACAAATATCTTTAAAGATTTACCTGCTCAGATGGAAGCCATGTCCTCAGCAACTTTTTCGTGGAAACAATATCCTAGCTCCTAGTTCCTGGTACTGCCTGATGGAAAACATTGTTAATCTTTGTCTTGGCCATTATACTCATTGGCATATTTCTGTGCTGTGGCATTTATTACTGCATCAATATGGTTCCAGTACTAATAAGTTCTTGTTTCTCTTATAGACCACCCATCACTCAAATGGCCCTCCAGCCTATTACTTCTCAATTAGACTTTCATCATGGACCACTTGATAGACCCAATTATTTTTAAGGGGGACTCCAAACTGCTTGCCCCACGCCGTCCCTTTTCAGCCTGAAGAAGCCAGAAAGATTCTCTTCGTCCCCCTTCCTCACAGCAGTAAGGAGTTCCCAAATTAGGAAAAAAAAATGAAGCCAGATTTAAAGTTAGGTAGTCAGTGTAGTTAGATAAATCGGGGGTCTAATATCAAGTGACCAAGTCTATCACTGTCTTAGAGAAATCTCTCTCTTCCCTCGCAGAAGTCGTACTACAAAATAGAAGGGGATTAGATCTGTTATTCCTTAGGAAAGGTGGTCTCTGTGTGGTTTTAAAGAAACAATGTTGTTTTTACGCTGACCATACAGGGGTAGTCCGAGAAACTATGGAAAAGGTCACTGAAAGGCTGGCCAAGAGACAGAAGGAGTTTGAGGCTCAACAAGGATGGTTTGAACACTGGTTTAATAAATCCCCATGGTTAACTACTTTGCTATCTACCATAGCAGGACCTTTAGTTATTTTGCTGTTGCTCCTGACATTCGGACCTTGTATACTTAATAAACTAGTGCAGTTCATGAAAGAAAGACTTTCTGTAATCCAGACTATGGTTCTAACTCAACAATACCAGTTGCTTAAACAACAGGGTCACAAACGAGCTTAATCCAAGAACCTGAGCAAGCAGGACAATGGATATAAGATTCTATCCATGATAAAGAAAAAGGGGGGAATGAAAGACCCCAGCCCAATAACTTTAGGCCCAGTTACAAAATCATCAAGGCTTGCTTTTGCACCTGCACAGGCGTCAGATGTGTTTTTCAGAAAATCAGTTAAGTGTAACCGATTAAGAAAGGACAGGATGGTTGGGAAAGGAGCCGGCACGGTTGGGCAAACGGGATCATACAATGAAAAACCATACAATGAATAACAAATGGTTTTTATGTGGTTTTTCCAGGAACCTATAGTGAAAAACAAGTTTACTCTTTAAGTGACCTATATGCTGGATTCAAAAGAGCCAATGAGATACCTGTTACTGTGCTAGGAGGGAAACTGACCACTGTACCCTATAAAAGATCTGTACCCCAAAGCCCGGTGTGCCAGTTCACCAAAGCTCCGGCTGAGGTTTCGCTGGGCACCCGCAGGCGCCTGTGTATCAATAAATCGCCTCTTGCGTTTTGCAGCCAGTGTCTCGTGTGCTTTTCCTTGGACAGGGAGTCGGAGGGTCTTTCAAGTCTATCTTCTGCTTTTCCTGGCTATTAAATGGTATAGACAGTCTGCATCCCGTTTTTCTCAGGCTGGTGGTAAGGAAAAGCCTGCAACCTGCTTTATCAGGCTGCCTCTCCGCTAACAGGTGTGCAGACATGCTTGCCACGTGTGATTTGAGCTGGCACCTCCAAGGGGACAGAGAGGAAGGGGATAATGAGTTGCCATGAACAGTGGGGAGACAGGGGTTAGAAGGCCTTGCAGAGGAGCAACCATCTCGTAACAGAGGGCAGGCAGGAAGCATGGGAACACGCGCGGGCCTAGAGGACAGTCCCTGCAAGCTGTAACCAGCGGTAGCCGCAGAGGCCAAGTCCCCACCGTTATGGCCAGGGCTAGCCCAGAAGGCTAGACCTGCTGCTCCATCGGTATTCAAGTCCTCCCTGCAGGCTCAAGCCTAGTTCTCGCCTGCAGAGCGCCTGCGTGGATGCAGAGCCCCCCCCCCCAGCTCCTCCCGCTCGCAGGTCTCCCTGGAGCCCTGGGCACTACCTTACCCAGAATGCCCTGCCCCACTGAGACGCTAAGCCAATGAGCGCCCAGAGAGGAGTGTTTCCGGCGTGGGCCATTGTGTGGGCGGGACTTCCGGCGTGGCTCCGCCGGCGCTGGTCTTAGCGGTCTTTGGGTTTGTCCGAGCCGTCGGAGCTTTGTCCTCCGGGAAGCGACAAGGCTGGGCTGGCGTCCGGAGGGGTCCGAGGGGCGGTGGCCACTTTGTCCGTGTCCCCGTCGCACGCGCAGAGGCCCATGGCCGAAGCCGGCCCCGCTCGGGTAAGTGGTCCTCCCCGCCGCGCTGTGCTCGCCTCCCCACATAGTGTCCGAATGAGGGGCTCTGCCCCGTGCCGCAGGCCAGGCTCTGTCCAGCCCGGTCGGGGCTCGTGAATGAGGTGAAGCGGGGAAACTACGCCTCGTATTAACGCTGTAATGGCAAGACGGAGAGTTCTACCTTTGTCCTTAGGTCGTTGGTAGCCACCGAGAACTGCGCACAGAAGAGGTACCTAGTCTGACTTCAAACTATTCCAGAAGCTTCTCACTATTAGGACCAGAAGGAGGGGTTCAAGGCCCGAGAGCTGCTACGAGTGAGCACTGAGGCGCCAACATAATGAAAGCCTCCTCAAGTCACCTGGCGTCCAGCTGGGAACGAGTACAGCAGGGGCTGAGCCTCTGGAGGCCTGCCATGATCATCTGCCTCTCATGACCTCCCTCTTCCTACAGGTTTCCATGAGTGCAGAAGCCCATAGGGACCTCACTCAGGTGAGTAGGTATGACACAGGCTTTCACTGATCCTGACACCAGCCCTCCGACTACCCACCCGCCCCAAGGATTTTTTTTTTTTTTTTAATGAATCCCTTCTCTTGATGCTCGTCGTTCCTTGGACCAAAGGACCTTTAACAAACCCAAGCCTAAGATCCTAATTCTATTTGGGAGTTATTTTAGGTAGTTTCTATAGAGATATGAAAAGCTTTCCCCTAATGCATATGTGCTTGGAGGTGAAGCTGAGCTGGTTCATGGAGTTCCAGGTTTCTTTTCTATTTCAGAGGATCTAAAAGTAGCAGGGCAGGATTCAGAGCTGACTGTCAGAATTGTGGCAGCAGTGGGAGTTGTAGAGAAGGGAAAGAAGATGATCTGATGGTGGTCTCATCAGCCTCCATGTTATGCCATGGAGAACTTGGTCAGGATGAGGGACACAATAGGAAGGCCAGGGAAGACGCTACCATAATACTCTAGGTAAGTGCTGATAGTGGCTTGAACCAGTAAGGCTACTGTGGAGGTAAGAGAAGTGGTAGGATTCTGGATTCATTTTCTTAATTAGGCCTGCCTGGATTTTCAGATTTTGAGGATGAGAGAGGGGGAGAGAGAAAGATACTATTGAGGCATTACTTCGGGCTTTTGGGGTTTAGTATCTGGAAGAATGGAAACTCCATCAGCTGGACTGTAAAGTTATCAGTAAGGTTTATTTCACTGGGGATATCAGAATTTTGGTTTTTAGGTACTTACATCTAAGATGTTGGATGAACAATTAGTAGAGACATCAAGTTCTGGCCACATCGGTTTGGAATTTGGGGAATGGTTTAAGATGGAGACATCTAAAAGATATAGTTAGTGTTTGACCCATAACTAGGAGGAATTATATTTGTCATAATAGTAGTGCTGTCCACAGCCCAGGTAAGGGAAAATGGAGCTGTGCCTGGGTCTTGTACTTGGACACCTGAGTAGACATGGTAAGCATCATAAACAGATGTGGAGAGAGAATTGACCATGGAAGGGCATGACAAAATAGATTATCTGGTAGGTGGCTAAGGCTTCTAAGGCATAAGGGAGATAGAATGGTTACAGAAACAGGAATAATTAGAAGATGACACCAAGGCCATGACTGAATTTTTCTTCCCTTCCAAATTTCATACATTGAAATTCTAATCCCAGAGGGAGCTAATCCTAATGCTAGAGCTGAGGCCTGTGAGAGGTAATTAAATCATGAGGATGGAGTCCTTCTGTCTGGTATTAGTGAATGCCCTTTTAAGAAGAGGTCAGAGAATAGCTAGTGCTCTTTTCACTATGTGGAGATACAAGGGGAAGTCAGCAGTCTACAGCCTGAAAGAGGACTCTCACCAGAACCTGACCATGATGGCACCCTGAATTCAGCCTCCAGATCTGTGAGAAATTCCTGTTGTTAATAAGCTACCCAATGAGTAGTGTTTTGTTACAGCAGCACAATTGAAGATACTCAGTCTAGTGCTCATTCACCATGCTACAGGCTCACCAGGATCGTCCACTCAAGCAGATAGCTAAGTTTGGGGGCACAGTGATCATCTGTGAGTGTCACTGGGTCTGGAGTAGAATGTCATTGAGGCTCTGAGGTACTTTGGTCACTGAGTTTGAGGGTTAAGAGTAAAAGGAAAGCTGTGACTGGTAAGTGGACATCAAAATCAGTAGAAATAGAGGACAAGAGTTGTTTGAAATCCTTAAGTGATCCTGGGTAGCTGAGATTGAAGCAAGGAGCAGAATCAGACAGCCAGGCCTTCTGGCAGGATCCTGGGCTGCGTGTTTCTGGAGGCACATCTGGAGGACCACTGAGGAATGGTCTAAGAGAAGGGGATACCGCATTACACGCCAAGTCCACAGTGAAGATGGTATCTTCCTGCCCACCTTCCTGATGGCTATGGGAGGACACAGTGATACTGGGACCATGACAGTGAGCTTCAGAGGCACTGGGGTGTGGTACTCCTCTGAGATAGGAATATAGGAAGAAGGGCAAACAGGATGGACAAGCAAGTGGATGAATTGGAATTCTAGAGGAGAAGTTTATTGTGGAGTGACCTTTCCCCATCATGGCAGGACTGTGTGACCTTTGAGGACGTGGCCATTTACTTCTCACAGGAAGAATGGAGACTACTTGATGAGGCTCAGAGGCTTTTGTACCTCAGTGTGATGCTGCAGAACTTTGTACTCACAAGCTCACTGGGTAAGGCTCTTACACTCACCCTAGTGTCTCTGTCCTCTTTTTCCCCCAAACAGATTCACCGTTTCCAGGCCTTACAATCTGTTAAATTCTCCAGTTTCTTGGCATATGTGCTATGGACGCCAGCACTGAGCTAACACACGTGCCCTGTGTGGTCTGGGAGTTAAGTATCTTGCATTCAGGCTAATGGATCTCAACTTTTTCCCATCTCTCTGGCTATGTCCAGAATCATGATACCTTTTTTCACAGCTCCCCCACCCCTCACCTTTTGCTGGTTGACCTTTTCTTGTGACTGCTTGTGGCATAACAGGCGTTGTCATAGTCCATACTTGGAACCATGGAACCATGGGCTATTATTATCATACCCCCCCACACACACACACACTTTTTTTTTTTTTGGTAGTTTAGATGGACAGAATGCCTTTTTTATTTTATTTTATTTATTTTATTTTTTAATGTGATGCTGAGGATCAAATCCAGTGTGTCACACATGCTAGGCAAGCATTCTGCCACTGAGCTTGAGCTACAGCCCCAGTCCCCGTATCCCTCTTTTTAAAATAATTTTTATTTTTCTCTCCTATGGTCTCTTGTATCCTGAGATGATCTGTATCTCTGTTGGCACTTTTATCTTTTTTTTCCTATGGACCCTGCTTCAAAAAGGTCCCATGTAGTGATAGTACTTAGGGTGTGGGGAGAAACCTGGTTCCTTCATAGAGTGAACATGATTTCAGAAGAGGCCTGGGCCTGATGTGTGGCACATAGAAAGTAGCGTAACATCCAGGCTATTTTCAAATCATAAAAGGAACCTGTCCTCTGTCCACCACTGTTTTGGTGCAGGTACCACTAGCCAAACTTCATTTCCATGTTTTCTTCCCCATACATCTCAATTTTTTGTGGGAGGGTGGTGGTTTACCAGGGATTGAACTCGGGGGTGCTTAACCACTGAGCCACATCCCCAGACCTATTTTGTATTTTATTTAGGTTCTCATTGAATTGCTGAGGCTAGCTTTGAACTCATGATCCTCCTGTCTCAGCCTCCCAAGCTGTTGGGATTACAGGCATGCACCAATGCACCCAGCCATGAACTTTTTTGATTTCTCATTTCATGTAACTTCCAGCACCCATCCATCCACATCTTTCTGGTCTTCATGCCTCATCTGTTCTTTTATACTGCTCTATGCAGTGTTTTCCAGCACTACCTCACACACGCTGATAAACTGTTCACATACATTACATTAACCTGAATACTTGCCACTCACTTTTGTGTGGATGTTCCTGGGCTTGGAGTCAACCCACCATCTGTATGGCATGTACCTGTTACTAGCAAACAGCATCCTGCTGAAGGCTGTGTGGTGAGTTCTAGAGATATGGCCACAGTGTGAAAGCAGCTTAAGGCTGTATGCAGAGGAGTGAGTTGAAGACTACTTCTCCTTATGACCCATCCATCTTTGTAATATTCAATTGGTAAGGCCTCCTCAATTCTGTGACTTTGAGAGACATCATATTGCCATATAGCCCCTTCCTCAACCTGTCCCTATATCTCTTATTCATAGAAAAAAATCTTGGAATCATTGGTAGAGTGTGCATGATGGGGCCTCCTCCTTCACACATAGTCATCATACATTTCATTAGCGATTCTCTGCTTTCAGGTTGTGGGCATGGAACAGAGGATGAAGAGATACCTTCTGAGCAGAAGGTTTCAGTGGCAGTTTCACAGGTCAGGACTTCTAAGGCAGGTTCATCCATGCAGAAGACTTACCTCTGTGAAAAATGTTTCCCAATTCTGCAGGACATTTTGCACCTGGATGATCTACCTGGGCAGAAATTCAGAATTGGGACATTTGCAGATCTTCACCAGCACCAAAAGCATCACAGTACAAAGAAGCTCTTGATGAGGGACATTGAAAAATCCTCGTATTTGAAACACTTCCTATTCCGCATGTCAAGGAAGCCCTTTGCCAGTTGGGAGATTGAGAAGGACCTCCCAGCCATGTGGAGCCTTGTCAAGTCCCCAGCATTTCCCAGTAGTGAAAAGCCCAATAATACCTCCAAGGGTGGGGAGGACAGTCATAGTCATAAAAGTCATACGTCAAGAGAATGTGGGAATTCTGTCAGCCACAAGCACACTCTTGTTCACCGCCCCAAAGTTACCACTGGTAAAAAGCTTTATGAGTGCAGCAAATGTGGGAAAACCTTCCGTGGCAAGTACTCACTTGATCAGCACCAGAGGGTACACACTGGAGAAAGGCCTTGGGAGTGCAGTGAATGTGGGAAATTCTTTAGCCAAACCTCCCACCTGAATGATCACCGGAGAATTCACACTGGAGAAAGGCCTTATGAGTGCAGTGAATGTGGAAAATTATTTAGACAAAACTCCAGCCTTGTTGACCACCAGAAAATTCATACTGGAGCAAGGCCTTATGAGTGCAGTCAGTGTGGGAAATCCTTTAGCCAAAAAGCCACCCTTGTTAAACACCAGAGAGTTCACACTGGAGAAAGACCTTATAAGTGTGGTGAGTGTGGGAATTGCTTTAGTCAAAGTGCCATTCTTAATCAGCACCGCAGAATTCACACTGGAGCAAAGCCTTACGAGTGTGGTCAGTGTGGGAAATCCTTTAGCCAAAAAGCTACACTCATTAAACACCAGAGAGTTCACACTGGAGAAAGGCCTTATAAATGTGGCGAATGTGGGAAATCCTTTAGTCAAAGCTCCATCCTTATTCAACACCAGAGAATTCACACTGGAGCGAGACCCTATGAGTGTAACCAGTGTGGAAAATCCTTTAGCCAAAAGTCTGGCCTCATTCAACATCAGGTAGTTCACACTGGAGAAAGGCCTTATGAGTGTGACACGTGTGGGAATTCCTTTAGTCAATGTTCTAGCCTCATTCACCACCAAAAATGTCACAACGTGTAGGGGCATCATGAAAGCAACAAATACAGAGAAGTTTTCAGCCCAAGGTTTAACAGCTCCTGAAAGCCCACACTTGAAAAAGGCCTTAGACCTGTAGGCAGTGTCATCTTTTTCAGAGAGGCTTTGTGAAGGAACCACCTGCCTAAAGTCAAACATACTTCCTAATACCCACTGAGGGCAGTGTCCCCGTGTGTGCATGCATGAGTGAGCCTTCCGGGAGCTGCCATGCACTTCTCAACTGATGGGGGCCATGTCAAGAGTTAAGTCACTGCCGCTTTCTCTGGTAGAAGGCATCTTCCTCTACCACTCTGCACAGTGTCCATCAGTCAGTGGAGCATGTGAGGGAAGGCGAATGCTTATTCCCTGGAGGAAGTCTTGAACAACCTGGGCCTTCAAGGAGAGTTCTTTCCCTTTTCTGACTGATTAAAGCACACACATAACCTAGTTTTTACCGTGAAAACCTGGTCTGCAGTCTGCTGGAGGCTTTCAGGAATGGCTGATTTTCTTCATCAAGAAGTTGTTTTTTCAGTCTCACATGACAGTTGGGTTAATTTTTTCAGCCTTCTATTTACCAAATGGTAACTACCTGCCTTGCATTTCTCTTGATTGTGTGCTAATAAATGCCTTATTGTTAAAGCTACCTTTAATTATGGGGTTGAGTTTACGATGTGGGGAGGCTGGAAGACACTTTGTGCTATTTGAAAGGATGGACAGCTTTCCTGGGTCAACTGTGTTCTTCAGGGACAGTAAAATGACAGTTCTCATTTTGCTTTCAGGCTGGTTTGTATTGCTGCCCTAGACAACATGGGAAATAATGCAGGAATTTTGCCCTGATTTGAGGCTTGGATGGTCACAATTTTCTATGAGACTATAGGTCCACCTGGGGAGAGGCCAGCTGTTGTGACAGGTTTCTATGATTGGGTGAAGAGAATGAATTCACTCTCTTGTTCCCAGAGGATGTTGTTTTGCAATGCACATGTGGAGGAGAAAATGTTCACAGGGCTTTACAAGAAGCCATGTGCCCTGATACCAATCATTCCATTTCATAGATTGGTGTCACTCATATGATGGCTGGAGCCATCTGTGAGCCTTAATTGGTTTAGAAATCATAAATACTGGGTGTGGAGAAGGCACTTAGAGTAAACTGCATGAAATGTGCCTCTTGCAAAGGTGCATCCACATATCTTCCAGTGATTGAGCATTCACAGGACCTAGAGGTCTGTGTATGCCCAATAGCTGTGGTCATTGTCAAGAAAAATAAAGGTTTTGTGGAATCATATTGTCTTTCTGGGTTGTTCACCTGAAGTGCATTGCTGTAGAAGCAGGAAAATAAGGAGATCATGGTGACCCTACAGTCCAGGGTTATAGCTCTGGTGATCCTGTCAGAGTTCTGTTGTTTGATATTACAACAGCATTCCTTACTGCACCAGTATAGAGCTGCCCTTTCCCATGCATGAGGACAGAGATAGTGGAATCAACATGGGCTTATTACCAGAAAAATAGTTTAGGCTTTGAATTTGGTTTTGGAATCACTTTTTATAAACTTATTTATATATAGTTACTTGGAATAACTGATGTTTATGGTGTATAATTTGAAAAGTTTTGTTTCATAAATTCCTGAAACCATTGTAGTGATCATAAATATATCTACAGTTTACCTCATGCCATATTATCTCCCCATATTCCCCAGGTTTGCAAGTATCCAGTAATTTACTTTTATTCACATGACAATAACTTGTGAATGAAATATTTTATGAATGCAATTACACATTTTTTGCTACATGATTATTTTGAGAAAGAATCATCACTACTGCTTATATGAACAGTTCATCCTTTTTGTTGCTGAGTCATATTCAGTTCTATGGATATGCTATTGTTTATTTTTTATCAATTTATTTATTTGTGCTGAGGATTGAACCCAGGGCCTTGTGCATGCAAGGTAAGCACTCTACCAACTGAGCTATGTCCCTAGCCTTTATTCTCCCGTCACTTAATGGGCAGTTGGATTATTTCCTGTTTGGGGATGTTAAAAACAAAGCTACTGTGAATACAGGCATAGGATTCTTAATGTGCATATGTGGTTTATTTCTCCTGCGAAAATAATTCAGAGTATGTGTTTTGCATTAAAAAAAAAAAACTGTCAAACTGATCTAGACTTATTGTACTCACTGAATTCCCACCAACAATATGTGGACATTTCTGTCCTTCCACCTCTAGCCAGTACTTGAAATGATTAGTCTTTTAAATTTGAGCTGTTTTAATGTATTGTGGCATCTCACTGTAGTTTTAATTGCATTTTTCTGATGTTTCATAATGTTGGGAATGTTTTATTTGCCATTTATGTATCTTCTTTTAAAAAGGCTATCTTTTTGCCTATTTTAAAATGTGTGTTGGTGATGTAGTTTTCATTAACAAATAGACATGTATAACAAGAACATGTTGGAACTTACTCATTCTTCAGTAAATGAGGGTCTTTGCTAAATAGGAAATTGTTTTTGAATGTTGGAAAAATATTTTCTCAATTTTTTTTGCCTATTCACAGTGCAGGAACTTACAGTAAACCGCAGTCATAGACACTATATGTTTTAAGCATTTTGTGCATTATTAGTAACAGCAAACCCTCTTTTTAGAATTTGTCAATTACCCTAGTAAAATACTCTCACCATGGCCAATTCAAGTTCTAAAATGATGTCACTGAACATAGAGTTGGGAAGAGATATGCAATAGCACATAATTATGTTTTATTCTCATCATACTGATATAGTAGTCACAAATATACAGATGTAAAACAGTAAAATAATTAGAAAGTAACAACTTTTGAGTATCACCTTAGATTTTTCAAGGTAGCTTGATGTGTAATTGTCATACAATAAACTATGCATATTTAAAGTGTATAATTCCTGTTTTTATGTCAGTACTCAGGGTTTTTTTTTTTTCAGTTTCCTACAAAATTGACTTGTTCCTTAAGACATTTGTTTGATTTCAGTTAATTATATATGACTTTTACATACATAATTTTAGTAGTTCCGTAAATCCCTACTATCTACAAATACCATTAGGGTTTAAAACATTATTCATTTATTGCGATTTCTGGGTCTTTTGTTCATCAAAATTTCCCACATTCTGTATTTGGTTATTTTGCATTTTTCTGATGTCACTAAACATACTAACTCTCTATATACCCTTTGCACTAGATATTTAATTAGATGAAGAGAACCAAAATAATGCACATAGTTAAAAGAGGGAATTTGTTAGATTGTCTTACATGATAGGTGCTGGATCATCCCACAAAGGCTATTGACAGGCTGGAGAGGTGGGGAGAATAGTAGCTATCCAGTCCAAGAAACCGGAACCCCCACCAAGGGGATGAATTAATGTTGCAGACCCAGCCAGAAGTTGGAGGCCTGAAAGCCCCCTGGAGAGTCACTGATGGGAGTTTGAGTTCAAAGACTGAAGAATTGTAATCTGATGTTCACGGGTGAGGCAGCAGCCAAAATCATCATCATCACCATCAGCAGCAGCAGCAGCAGCAGCAGCAGCAGCAGCAGCAGCATGTGCTTAAGAGAAACCAAGCTTGCACATACGGGAACGTCCCCCTTGTCTGCTTTTTGTTCTGTCTGGGCCCTAGCCTATTAGATTGTGCTTCTCATATCAGGGTGGGTCTTTCCCTCAGTTGGTTGACCCACAAGACAATTGTTTCTGAAAAAACTCACACAAACACAGTCAGAAATGTGCTTTACTAATTCTCTAAGCATCTCTTGATTTAGTCAAGCTACAACCAAAATTAACTATCATTGATCTTGTAGGGTTTTTTGTTTTGTTTGTTACTAGGTATTGAATCCAGGGGTGCTCTATCACTGATCTACATCCCAAGACCTTTTAAATTTTATTTTGAGATAGGATCTCACTAAATTGGTCATCTCAAATTTGCAGTTCTCCTGCCTCAGTCTCTAAGTTGCTGGCATTACAGTCATGTGCCATTATACCCAGCACTACCACAGATGTTAATAAGAGGTTTGATTTAAGTCTGATTCCACAGGTAAGTATGTAATAGTGACACACCTGTGCAGTCTTTTTTCCCCCTTTTGGCCTATCTATTCATGGGGTAAAAGCTAAGACACTCTATACTTTAAGGATTATCTTCATATTGTGCAATTTGCTATCAAGCCATAGGCCTGTATGGAAACAAAAACATTTCAGGTATTGAATTTTGCAGTGTTGTGGGGCAGGTTGCTCAGAAAACACAGCAAGTCCGAGTTATGTCCAAATTGAAGAGTCTTTATTCTGATCAGCCAGCACTTCTCCCTGCAGGACCAAGTTGTCTCTGCAGGAAACAGTCTTGAGCCTCACCTTTTTAGGATATTTAAAGGCAAAAACTGCAAAAACCACATCCGGGTTGATGTAGCTGCAAGCAAGGAGGTACAGAAGCTGCATTGGGCAGTTAACGAGGCAATGCAATGGGTACATAAGTATTTCCAATGGGGCTTTCCAGGTTGGCATAGCAGCAAGCAAGCAGAAGGGAAGTGGGTCAAAATGACCCTAATTAAGTACTTTAGAGAATGGTTACTACCATCTAGACATTTAATCTCCAGTTTACCAGATGGAGTTGGTTATCCATTTTGTGTGGAAGACTAAATATTCAGGGTGACCATATACATATCAATTTCTTGTTAACAAAATTTTCAACATATGGTGGGCTCAACTATGTTCTTAGAACTGTGTTTCTTAGTTACCACCAATCAAGACTCATGTTTTTAGGATTCTCACCTACCTTTCTAGATGTGTCATTCTCACTGGGTAACCCTATTAATCTGTATTAGTTGTAATTTGCTTCACTCCACAGATAGTCTTTCTCAGATAGTCTCCAGACCTCTTGTAGACAGTGTCACTGCACTAAACAGGTGACATAATGATTTCCCAGCAATATGAGATAATCAAGTCCAAACTCTATGTTCATCTGTCCATATTCCACACTTGGAAATCCAACATCTCAGCTGCCATTG